CCATGGTGGCTTGAATCGCACTCTCTGTAACCTAGATGACAGCAATTGTTTTCTAACGGAGCTCTATGGGTCTGCCCTTGCCTGCCACCTCCCTCCGCTCTGTCAGAGTGGCTCTAATGTGTCAGAGGTCAGATGATGATGTGCTTCTGTTAGAAACACTCCAATAGCTCCCTACTTCACTCAAAGTACGAGCCAATGTCACTGCAACAGCCTTCCGGATCTCCACCCTTCGTATCGACCTCTCCCACCCTCTTCTCCTTGCCCGTGGCTTTGGCCACACTGGCCTTATTGCTGTCTTCAGATGCCAAGCAGCCCCTTCCTTCTGGGCCCTGGCCCACAGATCCCCCCTTTTGGGATGCTCTTCCTCTAGATAGCCACGTGGCTTGCTCCCACTCTCCCCTCAGGCTCTCCCTCAAAATGCTACCATCTCACGAAGGGGTCTCATGAGCACACTATCCCCCACGGCAGCCGGCACTCCCAGGTCTCCTTCCCACACTCCCTTTCCCGTAGCATACATCACCACCATCGAGAACATACTCGCTGTTGGCTGACTGAGTGAAGGAAAGGTGCAGACACCTGGGTGTGGCCAGAGCATTCCACCCCCCCCCACTGCTGGGTTCCCAGCTTTGCTTTTCATTTCTTTTTGGTTTGAAGATGGGGGGATACCAGTCTGAAGAAAACCTAACCTCCCCCACTCCCCAAACCAAACCAAACCAAAATAAATCAAGGTAAGAGGAAACCTTGAAGGAGGGACGAAGAGGTCAAGCCAACAGGAGAGAAACAGGTACACCAGGGAAATGGTGTGTGTGTGTATTTGGGATCACCTCAGGGCTATTCTTACTGACTAAAAGCTTCGCCTAAATTCTAAAGGTTTTCGGGTAAGGCCTGGGCATGTCAGTGACCATGCTGACAGCTCCATCACTAACCTCGCCATCACATGGCAGCTCAGGTTAAGCTGAGCATAAAGGCCTTTCACTTCCCAGTTAGCCTGCAGGGATCTCCCTCGACGACAGAGGATCTTTTGGCGTTTGGAACTCAACGGTGGAGTCAAAGGGTCAGCCCCATGGAAGAACGGAGCTGCTCCTGATCACAGAGGGCAGTGCCTCCCGCAACACTGGGAGCATCCAGGGGCCTTTGCCCACCATGATTCATCATCCCCTTCAAGTTCAGTTGCAGGGAAGGTGTCCACACCACGAGAGAGAGGACGTACCAGCACCGTGAACAGGAAGGCCACCGCCAGTGGGATCCCTCTGCAGCCCTGGCTCCTGATTGTGGAAGGAGCACCATGTGTTCCACTGGCCAGGATGGTGCGGACCTCAAAACCTCCCGGGTGGCTCCTTGCAACCTCTCTTTCTGGCCCTCTTCCGGTGCATGGCAACTGGTGATTAATGACTGTGCTGGGAGATCACATTCCTATCGAGAGTTGCCGGAAATACAGATGCTGTCCATGCTTGATTAGACACTGCTTAAGAACTGCTGAGGCAAACTGCTAGAGTCTATGATTTCTGGCTATTTTGGTATTGCTGTTATATTTATTTTACATCGCTTCAAATTTCGGTAGAACTGATGAGGCCCATTACGCAAAACCTGGACTAGCAAAGAAGGAGGAATGATTTTTTTTCCCAAAAGGGCTACAAATGTCTATGAATGTGCGTGTGTATGGGAGTAAGAGAAAATGAGAATGGGCCCGCGCCCACCCACACAAATGAGTCGTAGGGACCCACTGCTCTTATTTACAGTGCTCTGTCCCCTGTCAGAATCAAGAGAGACAAGCTGTGCTTAGTATGTCTGGAGGAAAATAGACCCATGCCAGCTTCTGGGAGCCTTGTGGCCATTAAAGACAATCCCCATTTTGTCATGAGCCAGCTCTTCACAGACACCAAGAAAGGCCTTGATCTGATGCCTCTCCATTCACTCTACACATCGTGAGCATGTGCTTTGGGTGGGTGTTCAACCAGCCATGGAGCAAACAGACAGTCTTAGCCTCTTGGCGCTTATGGTCATGTCAGGGAGGTCTAAACCAGGAGCAAGACGGAAAAAATCACACTCACTGTCATCGAGTCGATGATGACTCACAGCGACCCTCTAGGGAAGGACAGAACTGCCCCTGTGGGTCTCCCAGACTGTCACTCTTCAAAGGAAGAGAATGACTCGTTTTTTTTGCCATGGCGCGGCTGCTGGTTTCAAACTGCTGACGCTGTGGGGAGCATTCCAACACGTAGCCCCCTGCACTACAACGAGAAGGCAGAAAAACAGAGTCATTGTGGCAGGGCCGCTCGCAGGCCACGTTTCCCCTCAGACCACTTCCTGAGACACGATTCCCAAGTATTAAGAATGGCTGGATGACCGGCTTCTATTAAGACCACAGCCACGCAAAGCCTGGGGAGCAGTTCTGCTCTCCACCACCTGGGGTCACCAGACTTGGGACAAGATTCATCGGTCCAGCAGTGAGAGGCAGGGCTCGGTTGCCATCCGATCGCTGGCTGAAGCAATGCATCCCTGGGACTGATGCCCATCTCACTGCTGCTTGCCTGGCATCCGGTCCATCGCGTGCCGGCTCCTCCTCTCCCGCTCCAGGTCCCAGCCCGTCTGCCAAAGACTCTGTTAATTTATTTATTTCAGGAGGAAAAAAAATCGCTTCAAAAAAGGATGATTGGATTTAGGAATTATGTCCCTTGGAGAATTAGTAATGGTTTTCTGTATCCCTCGGGCATCCTGGTTCTGAACTTCCCCTCATCAATGTTATTATGAACAGACTAATTCAATAATGAGATCATTCCCCAGAAGAGCAACCAAATAAAGGCAGCATGCGGTTACACCTGGTTTCCCTAATCGCGGCAGAGAAGGCTTTCCACCAAATTCAGATGAAAACGGGGAGTTTCTTCAACACACACACTCCCACGGGAGGACAAGAAAGACAGGGAAGGCGAGAGGGACAGAAAGGCAGAGAATAAAGCAGATGGATTCGGCCGAGACACAGAGAGGGCCATAGGATTAAAAAAAAAATTCTAGTATGTGTCTTAAAACTGCCCAAGTTGTGAAATATCTCATTGTTCCCTTAAATGTCTCAAGAATGATTTAAAAATAATTCTTCTGAACTTCTCAGGTAGTTAGAGAGAAGTAGTAAGTGGCAGGTAGGAACATTCTAGACTATTAAAAACTCACAGTGTTCTAGTCATAAAGGCTTCTGGGAAACCAAGGAGCAACCCAGCCTAGCAGCCCCACAGCTGTTGCCAACTGCCCGAGGGCTCAGTGAAGCCCCAACACGCTGGTGATGCCAGGAAGGCATGGGGAGACCACGAATGAACCAAATGGACTCTCTAATGTGAATACCTGCCTTCAGAGAGACAAGATGGGAACCGAAATCGGCAACGGTACAAAAGAGAAGGTGTCGGTGCTACTTCAAAGAAGACCCTTCACTTAGCTGAAGGGAGAGTGTGGGCAGAGGTGAAGAAACGCATCCTTGCAAGAGGAGGGACAAGAACAGCAAGCGGTGAGTTCCGCAGGCACGCGAAGACTGATAAGGAAGACCGAGGATCATGGATGCATTTGCATCCTGGCGAGGAAGACTGCAGGCTGCACACACTGCCGACAGAACAAACCCATCTGATTTGGAAGAAGTCCAGCCAGAATGCTCCTTAGGGAAAGAGGGCGAGACTCTGTCTCACACACTTTGGCTATGTCAGCAGGAAGAGTCTGGTCCCTGGAGAAAGACATCAGTCTTGGTAAAGTCGGAGGGCAGCGAAAAAGTACAAGGCCCTCAAGGCGACGGGCTGACACGGTGGCTGTGCCCATGGATTCGGACGTAGCAACAATCACGAGGGTGGCACAGGACCGGGCAGTGTTTCGTTCCAGTGTCCAGAGGGTGGCTAAGAGGTTGAACTAACTTGGTGGCACCTGACAACAACAGGCCAGAAGAGCGGAAGAAAGAGGTTCGTGTGAAACTATACTCGAGACAATGGCATTCACAGCGAGAGAGCCAGTGGAAGCAACCCAATGTCCCCAGTCTGCAGGCAATGAAATAAAGTCTGGTTTGATTCTGCCATGGACTGCTCTTCCAGCATTAAAAACAATGTTGTCAAACAAATAGATAAATAAGGTTGCCAAGGAACAGTAATGAACTTGGGGGACGTGATGTCTTCACAGAGTATTCCTGGTGTGGTGAAAGACAGCTTAGTTAATGTAAAACTATATCAATATGGAGTGGTAAGGAGGGCGAGACTTTGTCTCAAGGATTTGGGACATGTAATCGGGAGAGACCGGTCCCTGGAGAAGGGTCTCATGCTGGATAAAGTGGAGGGGCAGAGAAAAAGGAAGACCATTCTCGAGATGGATGGACACAGGGGCTAGGACAACGGGCTCGAACATAACAACAGTTTGTGAGGCTGCTGCAGGGCCATGCCCCGCTCTCTCTGCATCCAGTGCACACAGAATGGCTGAGTTGCAATGATGCAATAACACTTAACAAACCCTATCCGTAGAGCTCCAATTCTGCAGTAGAAGATGTCAAATGCATGCATTCTGTGTGAACACACACACACACACACACACACACACACACACACACACACACGGCCATGAGAAAGGATACCATATATCACAGTGGCTAGTCTTAGATTTAGTTTACGAGTAATGTTTACATTCTTCATCTCTGTATCATATTTCATACGTTTTAGGCCATGTGCATAGATTGTTTTTGTCATCAGTGAAAAGTGATCGTATAGCACGCAGAACATAGGTTAAACGAGAGGACAATCCACATACCTAAGGAAGGAATGCCAAGCATCCAATACAGACTCTCATAGACTTACCTTCTCTGCGACCAAGGAACACCTATCTGTTAACAACCTAATTAAAAACATATTTTACACCTATAAATGCAATATCCTTGCTGAAAAACCAAAACCTTTTTTAAGGACCAAGGATGTCCTATACAGGACTGCACAGCCCATAAAAGCTTGACTCTGAGACCGGAAACTGGGCCCGGCCTTCCCTCCTACCTTGCAAAGTCCAGGTCGGCCTCCCGGGACATGGTGATGTTGGTCAAGTTCTGCTGAAGGACGAAAATGTTCCTGCACATCTTCTTGATGCCAGACTCACTGATGCGCCGGAAGTACTGGGCCCCATTGATGAGGATGCAGGAGATCAGGTGTCCCAGCCCTGAGGGTGGCGGGGAGAGAGAAGAGGGTGATTGAAGGTCGCCCTGCCAGTCCCCCAGAAGGTCAGAGGATTGAGGACAACACAGCTCAGGTGGCTGCACCAGCCGGCTGCACAGTCATCGCCAGCAGTTACAAATGGGAGACTTCCCGCTGACAACAAAGCCTAGTCGGTGCAGAGCGCCCTGCCACGCACACCACAACGGGAGGGGCCGCGCCCGCAGAGCAGGCCTCGAAGCCTTAAACTGGACAGTTTATGGGGATCCCTGCTTCCTTCTGTGTGGGTGCAGAAGAGAACACGTGTCAGGACAAGGATCTGGTTGGCCTTCACCTTCCTCTCAGGAAAGATCGAGGGAGGGGGTGCCCTTTTGACTTTAAAGCCGATTGGGAACCCAATTAAGTAAAGATTCAACAGCCAGATCCAGGGCCATTGGCAAGAATGCAAATAGACTTCAACATCAGACATGGAGTCTGTTTGTAACAGTGGGGAGAGAATGCAGTCCGAAGCAAAGGGCCAAGGAGAGGTGATGGTGTCCAGACTGTTGGAGATCCCATGAAGACACTGGTGTATCTCTAAGGTCGCATCAAAGAACTCAAGCACACTGTCTTAGCGTCAACACTGACCCATAGCCACCCTATCGGACAGGGTAGAACTGCCCCTATGGATTTCCCAGATGGTAACTGAGTTAGTTAATTGTGCCAGCCTGGCCGATAATCACATGTGGTGCTGGTTGAAAGGCGGAGGGATAAATGGGTGGTGAAGCCTCG